GGAATGGATTAATCGCAGGGGGGGAAGGGGCGGGCTGGGATATGGGAGGATGTTATTGCGGCTGTGGACCCAGTCGCTTTACTTGTTGCGTGCGTGGCGCTCAGATGTGCGTGATGGAGGTGCGGCCGCGAGGAAGGGGGAGTCGAGGGTGGCCAGCCGTCAGGGGTCGAGGGAGGGGTGGGCCAGAGGAAAGACAAGCAAAATCGTGCGCATCGCACCGCATGCAATTGCATGGGGCGCGTCAACGAGAACCTGCGTGCAGCGAGACCAGCCCGGCAGGTTGAGGACAAACGGTGCGGCGGAAAACGCGCAGGCGCACGCGCTTGCCCGCCTCCCGCAGGGGCAACCCCCACTCGCAACGGCCACGTTTCCCTCCCCCAGCCCAGCGGCCCCCAAAGCCTCGAGCCCTCCTGGGAACCCCGAAATCCGGAACCCCGAACGCCGCCGCGCGGCAGCCGCGCACCTTCGGGAAGCTGCCGGGCACCTGCAGCCCCGTGACCTCCAGCACCGCCAGGCGCAGCGCCTCGCACGACGCGCGCTCGGTGTCGACCAGAACGCCGTCGCAGTCCAGCACCAGGTGTTGGAAATAGGAGGCCGTCCGCGCTTCGAGCGACGCCGGCGCCTGCGGCGCGCCGGGCGGGGGCGAATCGCCGAGCCGGTCGGGTCGGCCCGCCGCGGCGGCGCTGCCGTCGGCGCTGTCGGGAGGGGCCCCGGCGGCGCCCTGCGGCGCGCCGGCGCCGTCGGGGGCGGCGGCGTTGAGTGAGAGGTCTGACAGGAGATCACCTGTGAGGGTTGATGGTGCGGGCGGGGCGGTGTGGCGTGCGGCGAGGTGTTGCGGGCGGGGCGGTGTTGGGGTCTTTGAAGTTGTTTTTAGCGCGGCCTTCCTTGAAATTTGGTGGCACCGTTCAAGTTGGGCTGCGTGCTGCACGGGCGGGGGCTGCAAATGCTCCGGTGAGGAGCGTGGGCTGAGCAGGGCAGGCACAGCCAGACGCACAGGCGGCACGCGTGCTGCGCGTGCTGCTGCAGGCCGTCGTGTCGGGGCAGCTTGCAGAGGCGCACAAGTAGGGAAAGAGTGGGCAGGCCACCTGAACAGCGGGTCTGACCCACGGAACACACACACACACACACACACACAGAGCACTGCTTGCGACAAAGAGCTTGACGGGAGATCAACAGACACGATCACACAGAGGTGGTAAGGAGCAAGCACAACGGCGCCAACTCGCTCGCCCGCAAAACCCACCCGCCTCCGCCGCCGCCTGCTGCCGCCGCTCCGCCAGCAGTGCGGGCAGCCGCAGCCCCGGCAGCGCCGCCGCCGCGCCGCCGCCGCCGCCCGCCGCGCCGCGCGGCCGCAGCTCGTCCAGCCTTGACAGGTGCAGCTGGAAGCCGGGGGTGATCCAGGCGCCACAGGTGTTGGTGATGCCTGCATGACGTCATCACGGCGGACGCGGTGACGTCAGCATGGCGGGCGGGTGGGGGCGGGGCGCAACCAGGGGCGCCGCACTTGGCGTCGGTGAGTAAGGGTGATGCTACCACGGGTGGGAGTGAGCAGAGCAGGCGGTGGACAAGACGGCACAGCGGCAGTATTTAGGAGCAGTCCTCACCCCCGTTCGCTCCCATGCACACTCTCTTCCCCCTGAAGCGGGCCCCCTGCCGGCGCCAGTGTACAGCACGGCGTGTGCCCGCGCACCCGCCCAGTTGAAGGACCCGAGCCGCGCGCCGCAGCCGGGGCAGTACAGCTTGCCCTGCGTCGCGCCGCCCACGATGGCCCCCTCCATCCATGCCATAGGCTCCAGAAACATCGACGACCCTTCCGCTGCTGCCGCCGCCCCTGCCGCCGCCCCTGCCGCCGCCCCTCCAGCTTCCGAACCGCCTCCTCTGCTTCCAAAGCCACCCGGCCCCTGCGCCGCCTCCCCTTGCTGCTGCACATCCTGCTGCTGCGCCTGCGGCGCCGCCGCGCCGCGGCGCCTCCTGAACGCCCGGGAGCCTGCGCCGGAGCCGGGCGGCACCACGTTGGCGTCGGTGGCGACGACCTTGCGGCATTTACGGCACCGGTAGCGGCAGCTGCCCAGCAGCTGCGCGTCGTCGGTGGGCAGCTCTGCAAAGGAGCAGGGGTCCACGTAGCCCTCTTCCTCCCACTGGCGGGCCACCTGAGGGTGGCCATATTGATTATCATATTGAATGCAGCAGCGCTCGTTTGTTTCCAAAACGCACGAGCAAAGAGGTTCAGTGGTTTTGATGCTACGGCGTTCAGCCTGCCTCAATCCCTGCCGCGACCCAGGCGAGCCCGCAGCCACGCCCGGGCAGCGCAGCCATTGCATGATACCTGCTCCAGCATGAACGCCTTGTAGGAGGGGTGCCTCTCGTCCAGCCGCCACCCCATGTCGGCCCACACCCCCAGCTGATCCCGGAAGCCGGGGTTTGGGGCGGCAGACGGGCAGGCGCGCCGGAGGATGACTAATGCGTCGTAAGGCTCCAGCTGCTTGGCCCTCATGATGAGCGCAGCCACCACGGCGGCGCTGCGGGACGTGCCTGTCGTGGTGGCAGGTGTGTGTGTGTATGTGTGTGCAAGT